GGCGTAACTTAACACCATGTTCTCTAAGTCTTTGTAGAACACGTCTTAAGTCGTCTACGTGGTCAGTGAAAGTCTTAGAATAACATAACACGTCATCTAAGTAGGGAGAACAACAATCATCTCTTAACCCGTCAAGGACACCTTCCATGCATCTTTGAAAGGCTGCTGGGGCGTTGGTGAGGTCAAATGGGAGGCGGTTCCACTCATACAACCCCCAAGGTGTGCTGAAAGCGGTCAGGTGTTTAGAGTTCTCTTCTACAAAACCTTGGTGGTAAGCACTACCTTGGTCTAATATTGAAAACCAAGAGTAACCCCCCAAATTGTCCAGCAAGTCTTGAATGCGTGGGAGTGGGTGACTGTCAGGAATAGTTTTGCAATTTAATCCCCGAAAATCAACACACAACCGTAACGACATGTCCTTTTTTCTCATGCAGACCACAGGCGAGGAATAGGGAGAAGTGGATTTCCTGATCCAGCTATGATCGAGCAGTTTTTGAACATAGTCTTTCACTTCCTTGTACAAGGGTTTTGGGATGGAGTTGAAGGCTGTTTGAACTGGAACATTGTCTGTGAGATTGATTTTGAGTTGCAAACTCGGGATACAGCCAATGTCTGAGTCACTTCCTGCAAATACATCTGACTCCTCAAATAGCATATCACAAACAGTCTTTCGTTCTTTCTCATTCAAATGTGACAAATCTACTGGTGGGTGCCATTTTTCACTTTTCACATCAGTGTCCTTTGCTTGACGAATATCACTGGTGTTTTGTACTGAACTGGAATTTACAGAACAGGTGTTCACACAAGCTGGTTGGTTCAAGTTTGGGTTGTCTGAAACACTGTTAAAAGATTTTAATTCTGCAACTTCTTCCAGTGTTCCCAAAACAGTCCTTTTTGGAAGATAGATTTCATGTTCAGTGGTGTTCTGTATAGGGATTTTCGCTGTTTTTGTTAAACCACTAGGAACACTCACTAATGCTGAAAACAACTCTGACCCATCTGGATGATTATTCTGCACACTAGGCTGAAATAACATTGCACCTCCTGCTGGCCACTCTCTGACCCTACACCTAATTTCACAAATCTGGCCAGCAGGCAACATTACACCCTTTTTGCCAGTTTTAACTGTGTATTCAAGGTAGTTATCATCTGAGGTGGAAACGTCAAGTGCTGACACTAAAGCCTCAACTGCATTTTCGTTAACACTTAGAGCCTCTTTCAGCAAATCAGTAATATTAGTGTTGGTTTCTTTATTAGCTTTAATCACTTCAGCAATAACATTACTGCCTAGAATGGGATGGTTAAGACAGTTCTCAGTGACTATAACTGGGACTTGGATAGTTACGTGCCCATGGTTATTGCTCTTGAGTTCAAGTGCCATATCTGCCCAACCCTCAAAAGGAACGTCACTGCCATTTGCAGCAGAGATTTCAAAAAGTTGGTCTGGAAACAGTGAGGTGAGTGGTTGAATAGGAACAGTTGGTAATGTCTCCTGCATCCATGTTTTCCCCACCATTGTCACTTGTGCACCTGAATCCAGTAGCATTTGAATTGGAGCACCATCGAGAGCACATGAGACCATACATCTTTTACCAATGAGCTGAGCCAGTCGTTTCTTTGGCGGTGGTGACGAGCGAGGCGGCTGTGATGCTTGTCTTTTGCTGTTACACATCTGGGACGTTTGGGGTGTCTCGGTCACTGGCTGCCCCTCTCCTGTGACCGCGTCACGTTTCCCGACACGTTGCGCTGTAGACAACCTATGGCCCTGTGTCCTGTTTGACCACACACAAAACAATGATGATACGGGGTAATGTTTTGTTCTACACAGGATTTACATCTGCCCCGTGTTTCACTTCGTACTTGTGGGTTGTGTCTCCGTGGGCCAGAGTCAACAGATTTCGGATTATCCGGTGGCCTGGTCATTTGAGCTAGATGTTTAGTCAAGGAGGACACTTGTGCTGTTAGTTCTCTAATAGCGTCATGCTGTGTCTGTCGCTCTTTGTCAACTTTAATGTCTTTAGTCTTGTCACCACTGTCAATTGTTGCAACAGTCACTGTCTTAGTCTTAACAGTTGTACCCAGTCTTTTCTGTCTTTCTGCCTCTTCACTTGTGGATTTAGTGATTTGTTCTAGTAAGAGGTCATCGCTCACTTGCATGTCATTAAGGAATGGCTTAAGGTCACGTCTCACATAATCATTTTTTTCATTCACCCCCTGATAAAGAGTATGGAGGAAAGTACCTTGTACAAGTTTAACATCATAAGTAAACCCAGTACTGGTTTGTTGTGACTCAAAAAGAACACGTTGTTTTAAACCCATTACTCGATATAAGAACTGTTGTGGACTCTTTATCTGCTTGTTTAGCATTACTTAACTCTTGAAAGAGCTCTGTGCTGTTTTATCACGAATGTGAGAGCGTAGAAACTTCTTAAGCTCATCTACATTTAGATCACCTTTGTTGAGTAACATGTCTCTGAATGTACCAGGTTTTGTGATTTTAAGCACACTTCTGATAACTTCTGACTCAGAAAACCCCTCATGTAAACCTACATCCATTTCAATCAATCAATCAATCAAAGTTTATTTATAAAGCGCTTTTTCATACAACAGATGCAACACAAAGTGCTTTACAGTTTGGCTAAAAAACAATCCTGCCCATGCCCTCCCCCCGACCGCCCAACAGACCCTCCCCAGCGCAGAGGGCTCCTCCAGAGGAAACACTGGGGATACTTAAAAACAATACAATAAGTAAAACACTAAAATGTGAGCCTGAAAGGAACTATCACACAAAACATGAATAAAAGCAATAGCAATATAATAAATAATAAAGGATAAATAGAATATATAAAAATGGACTAATAAATACTAATCAAAAGCTAATCTAAAAAGGTGTGTCTTGAGCCTGGCTTTAAAAATATGAACGTTCTCTGCGGCCCTGAGCTCCTCCGGCAGACTGTTCCAGAGACGGGGGCCGTAGTGTTGGAAAGACGCCTCACCGTGAGTGTGTGTCCTGACTTTTGGAATGGTTAGGAGTCTGCTGCCGGAGGAGCGCAGGGGCCGGGAGGGTTCATAGGATAAAAGCAGTTCTGAAAGATAAGAAGGCCCAAGACCATTAAGACATTTAAAAACCATTAAAAGAACCTTAAAATCAATCCTGAAACACACGGGGAGCCAATGCAGCGATTTTAAAACCGGTGTAATGTGGTCCCGCCCCCTGGTCTTAGTCAGGACACGTGCGGCCGAGTTTTGGAGTAATTGTAAACCTGAAATGTTCTTTTTGGGAAGACCAGAGAGCAGGGCATTACAGTAGTCAATGCGACTGGTTATAAAAGCATGCATCAGCGTCTCCGTGTTGGCCCGAGAGAGAATGGGGCGGACTCTGGCGATGTTCTTCAAATGATAAAAACCTATTTTTGTTATATATTCTTAATGTGAGGAATAAAAGTCAGCTCAGAGTCAAAAATTACGCCCAGGTTTTTCACATGTGGTGATGGATTAAAAGAGTGTGATTGGAGTTTTGGTAAAAGTTTCTCTCTCTGGGCCTCAGGACCGATGACTAAAACCTCAGTTTTGTCCTGGTTAAGCTGGAGAAAGTTTTCTGCCATCCAGGATTTCAGGTCTAAAATGCAGTTAAAAAGAGCATCCATTGGCCTGGTGTCGTCAGGAGACATGGAGATGTACAGCTGTGTATCATCTGCATAACTGTGGAAGTTAATTCCATGTCTCCTGATGACACCGCCAAGAGGGAGCATGTACACGTTAAAAAGGACTGGACCTAAAATGGAACCCTGGGGCACACCACATGTGATTTTATGGACCTGAGAGGAGCAGGTATCCAAACTTACCATGAAGGATCTGTCTGTTAAATAAGAAGTGAACCATTTGTGGACAGCACCAGAGAGGCCGAGGTGTTTTAGGCGGGATAAAAGAATGGTGTGGTCTACTGTGTCGAAGGCAGCGCTAAGATCCAGTAGAACCAACACAGTCACCTTTTTAGAATCATAATTTAATCTAAAATCATTTAAAATCTTTAAAAGAGCCGTCTCTGTGCTGTGGTTCACCCTAAAACCTGATTGAAATGTCTCTAAAATTTGCTGTTGATCTAAAAAGGCATTGAGCTGGGTAAAAACAAGTTTTTCTAAAATTTGTTGGACACCGGTCTGTAGTTGTTAAGATCATTAAAATCTAAATTGCTCTTCTTCAGAAGGGGTCTCACCACAGCCGCTTTGAAGGCTGCAGGAAAGACCCCAGTCTGAAGAGAGCAATTCATCAAGTTTAAAAGCTCCTCTCTAAAAAATTCATAAAATGACTTAAAAAATGGAGTGGGGACTGGATCTAAAAGACATGTGGTGGGCCTCACTGAGGAGAAAACTTTATCAAGCATCTCAGCATCAACCAGGACAAAACTGTCCAGTGTTTCCTCTGGCGAAGACAAACAATCAGATGTGTTAAAAACAGTAGTACAATTGGATAAAATGTTACATCTGATTGTGTTTATCTTCCCCATGAAGTGGACTGCAAAATCCTCACAGAGGGAGTCTGTGGGGGTTAAACGAGACATGCTAAAATCAGGGTTTAAAATGGTGTCAATGGTTGAAAATAGGACTTTCGCATTGTTTTTGTTTTGGGTGATTAGTTTTGAGAAATAATTGTTTCGGTTTTTCCTAATTGTTTTGTTGTATGTTTTTTGTTGGTTACTGTACATTTCGTAATTGATTGTTGTTTTGTTTTTCCTCCACCTACGTTCCGCCACCCTGCACTCTCTTTTCATTCTCCTTACTTCTTCGTTCCTCCATGGGGGTACAGATTTTGTTCCGGTAGTTTTTGTTTTCAAAGGAGCAACCTGATCTAACGTAGTTTTGAGTCTACTGTTAAAATCATTTGCTAACAGATCACAGGGGGCGGGTAAAACCAAGTGAGGAGTGTTATTAAGAATGTCTATAAAATTTGCAGCCACTTCAGGAGTTAGATGTCGCTTCCTCACGGTTCTCACAGAGGTCTCACGCTGGATAAAACCAGTGATGTTAAAAAACACGCTTTGCTTACACAGGTTACCGTAAGACACTTCTGAACCAGTATCTGAAATCTGTCCACCATGGAGCTTGAACTCTCTTCGGGGGAGCAGGCTTGCCACATCACTGATACTCAATACCTGGTTTCTCATACTAGATGATGGACTAGCCCCACCCCGTGGGAGTCCAACCCTTCCGCTGGTTTGGTCTGGGGCAGGGAGCCGCCTCAGAGGTGTTCCTGTATTATGATCTTCTCCAGGGATGTCGTTGAGGTGTAAGGAGTGGAGTTCGTTGTGCTGAGGAGATGAAGGATCGCTGGTGTGGGTTGTGGCAGGATCATCGGCTCCAGGACCCATGGCAGCAGCAGGTTTCAGTAGATCGCTCGTCAAATCGTCCAAAACGAGCAGCTGTGACATGCCTTCATCCTCAAGTGCCTTCAGCTTGTCAATTCTCACATAGTCAACAATGAGTTCATACAGGTCACTGTCACTTGACTCATCATCGATGGCTGTGATGTTGCCGTCATCAATGGCATTAACGATTGTTAGCAGCTGACTTGTGCTAAAACTTGAAAGTCGTCGTTGGATCTGGACAATCAGCGTCCGCCTTGGTGCCTTAGTTGCCATCTCGTCTTGATGATGGAACTCTCTTCACCACGAAGCACTGCTTTGAGATCCCGGACGAGCCCCCAATTATTACCGGCACCAGCCCTAGGGGAAGCTGGGCAGTAACAAGTGCGCACACAGATGACTTCTCTGTGACGCTTATTTAACTGGAGCTGTGGATAGACAGAGAGGACACATGTTTATCAGGCCACAGCTTCTTTACTACTGAGTCATTCAAATCAACATTAATACACACAAAAATACACAATTGGACCACAAAAATAAATTATAAATTGACAAAAATAATAAATGCTAAAATAACCCAAAAAGTGCAACTGAAAATACATATAATTACATAAAATAATAAAACATACATTTATACATTCACTCCATACCACACAACAGCTACTTCAGTACAGAAAATGCATAAAAATAGACATTTCACTTATAATTCCTATCTGTCTCTCTTAGTCTCTCTCTATCTCTCCCTGCCTCACACACACACACACGCAGGCCATTTTAACAGAATGCGCCTCCAACGGCGGGAAAAAGTCTCTGGTTTAACGGCTAGAAAAAAACTACTAGCACTTGAATCTTAAAACTGTCTGCACTCGCAACACAAACTAGGTAATAACACTTATACATACACATACACGTTAGCATGTTAACTGCTTGGATAGGACTTGAAACACATCACTACTACTACTTTACTTGACTCAAACATGACATACAAACGTTAGAAACGGGACTACAGAACATAGTATAAAAATGCGTTCCTAACCTTTGCTAGACCCTCAAAACTACTTAACTGTACAATTTGTGCACATAAAAAAATACATAGCATATGGTGACCAAGTTTAAAGTTAATAAAAACAACTTTTGAACCATACCTGTGGATAGACAGAGAGGACACATGTTTATCAGGCCACAGCTTCTTTACTACTGAGAGCTGCGCCTCCCAGGTGAAAAAAAAATATACTTAGTATACTGAAATTTAGCATACTAAATATATTTCAGAAATAACAGTCAAATAAACTTTAAGTGTGCTATTTTGAAACAACTTATTTTGTGCTTAATAGATTTAAGTTGAATTTAAATAGAACTTAAAGTAAATTGAAAGTATACTTAATATACTAATGTGTACTAAAGTGGAACAACTTTAAGTGCACTTATTATACTTTAAGTATACTTGATTTTTGGGTATTTAATTCATGATTGAGTAATACATTTCAATGCAACTTCAAGTATATTCATAACATACTTGCAGTTAACTTACAGTATATTTTCAATTAACTTACAGTATATATAAAAATATATTTAAAACATCTTTTTTCTGTATTATACAGATAAAAACAAATCATTGATACAATGCAACATAAACTTTATTATGCGCTTGCACATAAAATTTGCAACAACAGTGTTTCTTTACAAAAATAGTTGTTTACTATTTACTCAATTTACTCAAATAAAATGCATATTAACAAAAAAAAAAATCTTATATACATCTCACGTCCAAGTTGTCGACCGCATCCAGTCCCTGTCTATCGCCAGTAATTCCTGGAGGAAGTTTCTGATCAGTTTCAAGTTCTCTGCTGTCGACCAAATGCCTCAAGTAAAGGACACACTCCTCTTGTTTAAGCTCCTCAGGGTGACAAGTGTGTGAGCGAGTGTCTGTTTTTGTGAAAAAAACCCCCAAACAAACACAGTCCGGCTCTTGCGTCAAATCAACTTGAAAACACCGACTGGACAGAACTCATTAATAGCTTTAAATTGAGGTATGACATGGCATCTGCCTCCTACATGTCAAAGACAAACTACTTAAAACCATCAACTATTGTCTTTGAACTTATTCCAACTGGGGTAGAATTCAATATTTATTAGGGAGAATGGTCGTAAAATAGTAAGGAAAATAGTAAGGAATATGATGTGTTTTTAACATTGATTTGACATGAGAGCCTAGTGCTTTTTCACAAAAACAGACACTCGCTCACACTTGTCACTTTGAGGAGCATGAACAAGAGGTGTGTGCTTTACTTGAGGCATATGTAGTCAACAGCAGAGAACTTGAAACGGACCTAAACGACCTCCAAGTTTAGCCTGAATCATCAGCGAAACACAGGCACCGGATGCGGTCGGCTCATGTCGCCGTTTCTCCCCGGAACTAGCTAACATACACACAGTGTATACATAAAATAATTACTTAAAAGTATTCATTCCTTCTTTTGGCAGAACTGCTCATTTTTGCACTTCCGTCTTAGTGCTGCACGAACCTCGGAAACTGCATCTGCCAAAAAAAATACAAAAAAAAAAAATTCAAATCCGTTTTGTAAATATAGTAAGTAATGTTTATATATATATAAAGTGCATTTTACAGACCAAGGTCATCCAAAGCGCTTTACAATGATGGTGATGACGGAGGCAAGTTGCCGAACACACTGGCGCATCAGCCCCCAATCAACACCATCCATTCACTCTCTCATTTACATTCATACCTATTGTGCAAAAGATCTGAGACTTGAATCAGATTTGGTCACTCACCTGTTATGGGTTGCACTTTTGTAGCATCAAGTTGATGCCTCATCCTTTCCCTTCTTCCTGATTTTCCAGTTCGGGCTGATGTTGCCAATATCTCCCTCGTGAAAACAAGGACAGCTAATTCCTGTGTGAAAAACATGCAAATTTGATTCAGGAAAAGCCATTTTTGAAACGCTAACATTGTTGTAACATTGTAACCCTCCACACACTCCTTGATTAATTTTAAGGTTTCAGGCAGTTCTTCAAAAATAAAAAGTAAATTAAATTTCCTTAATGCATTAATGCAATTGTAAACCGCTTTGAAACTCAGATCTGCAGTTAAAAGGCGGTATATAAATAAAGATTACTTACTTGCAAACATTATGAACAATATAGGTTAAATTTTGATAAGCCACTAAACTTACCACGAAGACATGAAACTATCTCTTCCATGGAAGGCGCTGCAGTATAACTGGGAATGAATCCATTTGCCTCCCTCACAACTGAAGCCACACAATCAACATTTTCCTCGAAAAAAAAATACATTTAAATATACTTATAGTGTATTCCATTTCTAACTAATACATTGTAAACATATTTTGTTAAATTATATTTAAATCGAGTATATTTAAAGTTTACTAATTGTGTATTTTAGAGAAGTACTCCAAATACATTTATTATTTATTATATTATAATATATTTGAAAAATAATATATTAATTTTTATTACGCTCAAAATATACCTAAAATATATTACAGATCTGTATTTTAAATATATTTCACAGGAGTATACTTAAAATGTATTTAAGAAAACTACACTTAATTTTAGTACAAGAAAAATATATCATAAATACATTACAGATTTGTATTCTAAATATATTTTATGGTAGTATACTTGAATGTAAGAGAAAATACACTTGATTTTAGTACACAGCAAATTCAATAGTGTTGGATTGACAGCTGTTGAGAGATAGAAGGATATATATATATATATATTTTATATTTTTTTCATTTACACTAAGACTAAAATAAACTATTAATATGTTGTTAATCTGGCAAAAAAGATACAAGGATCCAAACATTCAAGGATCAACAGCAAATACATTTCTGGTTCTTAACACTTCAGTAATAAATGTAGAAGATATCTTCAGCTGTCTCTCCAAACATGATCAGTTTTACTCAGCTTTAACTAAAACAGAAGCTTGACCTGACAATCCATTTTCAGATGTAAAATCTATTAGTGTTAAAATTTCACAAAACCTTTCATCATTCAGCTGTACAACAGAGTTATTTCTTTTTTTAAGAGTTGTGTTATAATATGAATGATACAAAACCCTAGCATGTGTGAAACGATCATAAACTAAACCAGAATGAATAGCTGCTAACTATGGAGGCCTCCGCTCCAATGATCCGCGCCTAAAATATGATTGTCCAATCAGGTGCTGCATTCATTGCAGCTTTGTAACTATCAGCCAATCAGAACAGTTGGTCTTGCTCTTGCGCATGTAGTCCTCATTTGAAGAAAAACAGCAGCTAAGGATGACGTCCTTCATGCTCGCGATTTTTACCTGCACAATAACAGCTTGAAAGTGGAGAACACCGGAATAATTCTAAAGAGTTCAGGAAGATTCAAGCAGGTAACCTCCCAGCCCGATTTAGACAACGACAATTGGATAGAAATTAAGTGTGGGTCACGAAAGGAACCCAGCAGGACAGAGGCTGCTAAAGTGCTGCTATTTGAAGTTAGCTTAAGCTTGCTAGGTTAATTTTATTTCACGATGAAATATTTATGCCTCACCGATCGTTCCTTTTCAGATGTAATTCAAGAACTTGTTTTTTTTTTCCTCCTGGGTAAAATATTTGGGCCATAGATGACACGTGTGTCGCTGCAAATGGCGACTGGTCTGAAGAAACATCTTGTCAGGTGAAACATACAGAACAGGGTATGTTTGCTTTTGCTAATGTTATGTTTGGGTCTATCAAACGTATGCTTTTTATTTTTAAAGTTGGGCTATATTAACTTGTAATGAAAACCCTACTCGGGTTTTAAACCTATGCTTTGCATTGAAAATATTAAACTCTTTCCATACATTGTTTTCTAGGCAAAGAAAAAGCTCCAAAAAATAGAGAGACTGCAAGTACAAGAAACGTAATTGAGGGACAAAAAAAAACACTTTCTCAAAAAAGAAATCTTGAACAATCTGAGGATCTGTTTGGCAGCAGTTCAGAGGAGCGTTTGTCACCTGTCCGCATGGTAAGTCTAATTTGTTGTGATGTTAATGATTCAATATACTGACCTGTGGTATTATAAAGTATATCCATTTTCTTTATTCTCAGTCAAAGAAGAGAAGGCTATGTGTATGGCCTCAACAATTTTCCCCACAAGCAAGCAGTTCTGATGAAACCCACATAGAGCCCACATCATTCAGACCATGTATGTATTTTGACATACATACATCATTTACAACATGTGTTATACTTAACAGGAGGAAAATGTTGATTGTGTGG